ATGTTTCAGCGTGAGTTACTGAGACCGTAAGTGCCAGTTAATGAGAGAGAGAGAGAGAAAAAAGGGGGTGGATTATCTGGGGAACTTGGCTCTTCTACTTGTGAGTCTCTGTACTTTTACTGCGTAGCAAAAGAATTTTACCAGAAATTGAAAACTTTGCAACAGAGTCCCCAGCTTACAGGGGTGGAAGTGGGGGTGGCACAATTACATTCAACATCAACAACAATCAGGGGAGAGAAGAGCTTCCATGTGCCTCCCTTTGGGGTGGGGTAGGTTAGTGCATTTTGAAGCGCAGTCTCAGAATGATGATATCTGCGTGCACTTTTTTCATCACAGGCTGTTGAGGGGAGCTGTGCTCACGGCGGGTGGCAGAAAGAGAGAGGAACGAGGGTGGTTTTGCCCACCCTTTGGGAGACGTGGCACCGGGAATAACTTTGGCCCCTACCATTCATCTGTTGCGTCCCAGAGGGCAGCCTCTTAGAAATTGATTTATTCATTTAAAATACATTTTAATACATTTATTTTAATAAGTTGAATACATACATTTTAATTTATTTTAGAATAAATTTCACCCCGCTTTTCTCCTTAGGAAGGATGCAAGCTTGCATCGTTGAAAGACCATATTTAAAGCTAAGAACAGCGAGCATAAAGAGGGAGCTTGCATCATTAAAAGCCAATATTAAAGCTAAAACATTAGGTGTACAAATATAAGGAACAAGCAAATATCGCTCTGAGAGATAACACAAGTTGAAATGGCCCCTGGCATCTCTGCTGAGGTTGCAAAACTGCATTACTCTGGTGCATTCTTAGCCACAGTTCTGGAATCCCACCAACTTTCATTCTTGAAGGTTCTCCAAAACCTTCAAACCTGTTGCTTTGTAATTCTATCTCACAACAGATTGTTGTGTCGTGTCCGACTCTTCGTGACCCCAAGGACCAGAGCACGCCAGGCCCTCCTGTCTTCCACTGCCTCCTGGAGTTGGGTCAGATTCATGTTGGTCGCTTCGATGACCCTGTCCAACCATCTCATCCTCTGTCGTCCCCTTCTCCTCTTGCCTTCACACTTTCCCAACATCAGGGCCTTTTCCAGGGAGTCTCCTCTTCTCATGAGATGGCCAAAGGATTGGAGCCTCTGCTTCAGGATCTGTCCTTCCAGTGAGCACTCAGAGGTGATTTCCTTCAAAATGGATAGGAAATCACAACAGATTAGGAAGATAAAAAGCCTTTGGGTGCCTTCTAGTTCTGTGTAATTTTGTGACTACCCCCCTCCATCATCCTTGGTCCATCCTCTTTGTGGGGCCACAGGTGTTGAGAGATCCCTCCCTGGAAATCCGAAAGAGTTGGACCGGCCAAGAATATCTTAGCACAAGACTTCAGGAAGGGCACACCAAGGGCGCCCCCTTGAGATTGCATTTCAGAGCACAAAGGAAGGGGCAGGGTTTAAAATGGAAGTGCCGCTTCCCCGCCTGCAGAAAGTTAGCCTTTCAGGCCCAGAGCTCAGGCTGTCTTTCTACCAACGGGAAGCTTTTACTGCGAAGCACATTTATTTATATCTGTTACCCTCCGAAGTGTCATGGGTGGGTGCAGGAAGGCCGTACCACAAAATTTCCTAGAACACGTTGGTTGACTCCAAGCTTGTTTTGTGAACTCTGGCTGGGGAATTACAGCTGCTTTTAATAACAGAGAAACATGTGACTTTGGAAAATGTAAGGCCCTAAGGAGCGTGAGTCAAAAGGGAAAGCACCTTTTTTCCTCCACACGAGGGGAATGGGTTCAGCGTCTGCTTATCCGTGGCTTAGCGGGAGCCTTCTTTCACTTACATGGTCCTGTATTAGATCTGTAAGTTGGGGGAGTTTTAATAGAGCGGAAAGTTATATTGTTTTGCTTTTTCATTTTTTAAAAAGCTATTATCAACCTGCTGAACCTCAGCCTCCTGCAAACATTCTTCGCCTTTTAAAGGCACGGACAAGAGGAAAATGTATTCTCGAAGGCTTTCACAGCCAGGATCCAATGGTTGCTGGGGATTTTTCGGGCTATTTGGCCGTGTTCTGGAGCTTTTTCTTCCTAACCTTTCGCCAATCTCTGTGGCCGGCATCTTCAGAGGACAGGAGTCAGAACTCTGTCTGTGCTCTGGTGCAGTTTGTGGTATAGTTGAGTATTTATAGCTGTGGGATCAGCTTTTTTGTCCTTTTCAGGAGATTGGGTGATTATGGTAATCACAGTGACAGATCATCTCCCCCCTTATCACAACAATACACCCATAACAAAAAGACACCCAGATCACCATAATTACCACAAAAAAACTTCCAGAACATGGCCAAACTGCCTGAAAAACCCACAACAACAACAGGAAAAGTTTTTGGGGTTGCCGAGAGAGCCCAGCCAGGGTGGAGACCAGACCCACCCACTACAATGAGATGGTCTCTGACCGAGAGTCACCGCGAAGGGCAGACCAGGAGGAAGCCCAGAGTGTCAGAGCTAAAGCTCTGGGACAAGTTACCTTTTTTGGGAGGGGTCTCCCAGCATTTTACCACCAGTATGGACTAGGAGATTCTGGGATTTGTAGTCCAAAACAGGGGATTGTCTGCATCTTCCAAATTTCAGCACCCTTGATGAAAGCACATACAGGCTGTGTGCATCCCATTCACAAACAGCTTTCAGAAGGGGGGGGTCCTCTTCCTCTAGAAATAAATTTTGTTTCTATGTTTTTTTATTCATGAGCATTTTTATGTCCCCTGGAAAAAAAGGTGGAGCTCCGATCAGTTGCAAAATGGGATACTGGGTAAAGAATCAGGCGTTTTGGGTGCTGCTGGCTGTGTTTCTTATTCTGCAATTCCCCCCACACCCTGTTCATGGACTTTTAGGAATGGTTTGGGCTGACAGCACCTGTCCTGCCTCTTTCTACTTCTTGTGCAAGCTTTTTTAACTTACACACACACACACACACACACACACACACACACACACACAAAAAAAACCTAAGGACAAAAAATTGGACCTTTGGGTGACTGAATAATTTGATCTCTTTTCAATGAGGTTTGTCATCCCCCTTGAGTATCTTTTCTTTTTTTAGTGGAATAGTGATGGTGAAATAAAATTAATATCGAAAATAGCAGTGCCAACACAGAAAGTCTTTTGTCGTGAAAGCCATTAACAACCTGTGGGAGCCTCAAGAATTCTTCATTTTAGCCCAAGAGAAAGAAGCCCTTGTGGAAGGATGCATGCCTGTTCCAGAGAAAGCACTGGCCCAAACCCGTTTGCTAAGGGTAGTAGAACGTGGTTAGAGTAGACCCATGGCATTAATGGGGATTTGGCAGGTTGACGAATCTGTAAGTTCCACAGATTCAAAGGGGCCTATTCTAACTGTGACTTTCTATGCCAAAGTGAGTAGCAGAGAAAGCCCATTCGAAGAAATGGAACATGTAGATGGGGTTGACTCATTAAATCTGCATGGATTCAGCGGGCATCATGCTAAGTAACAGGATTTGTCCCTTTGTTTAGCTAAGTCCAGAAAGAACAAGGAAAAGGCTGTGCGGTCCCCAGGAATACACAAATGAGACGTGAATGAAGCTTTTTATTGAACCACTTGCCATTGATATGGTTTTTAGGGACCGCATAAAAGGTATCACCCATTTTTGCATTTGTGAACTGTCCAAATTATGTAATTTGACTTCTACCCACAAGGGGGAGCTTTAAACACATGTTGGTGCCTTGCAGAAATGTCAAGTTATATTCTTATTTATATCCATCACTCTGTTAGTCATACTGTACATATAGGGAACGTTTTATTGCAGGGGTAGGCAAGGGCAACCCTCAGGCCACATGTGACTCCCCAGGGCTGAATCTGGGACCCCAAGACAGATCATGTTTCCCATCCACCCCAAGACATTACACCTGCCCTAGGGAGCATCACATCATACGTTGGATGAGATGGCTTCTAATCTAAAAATTCTTTAACAGAAATAAATGTGTTCACCTTTAAGGTGCCACAGATCTATTTGTTGGTGCTTCCACAGAGTACTGGAAAATACATTGGAGGAATGTAAAATTTAAAAAAAAAGTTACGAGAGGCTGTTAAACTGCAATACGGCAGCAAAAACTCTGCTCACAGTCCAGGTTCAATCCCAGGTAGCTGCCTTAAAGTTCACTCAGCCTTCCATCTTTCTGAGACTGCCTTAAAGTTCACTCAGCCTTCCATCTTTCTGAGTTTCTTTAAATTAAGGACTCATCTCGCTGGGGTGGAGGGCAAAGTGTAGCCTGCATAATAAACTTAAATTAAGGACTCAGCTCGTTGGGCTGGAGGGCAAAGTGTAGCCTGCATAATAAAAAATGGTAAACCTCCCAGATTCTATACCAGATTAAAGGTGTAATGTCGAGTTCGCAGTGCGATTAGAAATAACGCAAACCATGGATAGATTTTGAATTAATCCTTCCTAATAGCTGAGTGTCATTGGAGGAGAAAAACTGAATTCATAGAAATTATTCCCCCCCCACACACACACACACATACAAAAAAACCCAGTGCTGCTCACCCACCTTCTTATACAATCTCACAGTGGCAGCGTAGAAGGAAAAAGAACCAGCTCCCTTTCTCATTCACTTTCACGGAGTCAGTTTATAACCAGACACAGGCAATTGTGAATTCATCGTGCTGGGGAATCTGGGAGTTGTAATCCAAAAAAAGAAGAACCTTTGCAACAGTAGATAGACTTACACGTTCACTCTCATGGAGTCAGTTTCTAACCAGACACAGGCGATCACATGGTGAATTTATCATGCTGGGGATTCTGGGAGTTGTAGTCCAAAAAAAGAGGAACCTTTGCAACAGTAGATAGACTTACACCCCATTTGATTCATCATTTCAAGGAGAGCAACATGTTTATGCCCAGTAACGCTCTGGAAGTTTTGCTGTTCCTGAATGTTCAGCCAAAATATGTTTTTCACACTGACCCTCCAGTGGGGCTTTTGTTCATGTGGGTTTTTTGTTCCTGCTTTTTCAGAAAACTTCCCTGCTTTTCCAAAGGTAAAGGAAATCAAAGACAGCGCATCTCCTTCTCTCCCTCAGTTCTTGGTGGAACAGAGAAATATCTCTTTTTTCCACATTTTCAGTGTTTTCCAAATACTAGAATTGTGTTTCCTGTACAAATTGTGTGCAGATGAAAAGCGGATGGACATGAGCTGAAATCGTGTTGTGCAGTTATACAAACAAGAGTAACTTGGAGTCGCAAATTGCTGTAATTAAGAAATCCCTGTAGGCATGATCTGTGGATTGTCACATCTCATGATCCAGCATGCGTTCAGGACATTTCTTAACTCAACCGCAGGTGGTGTCTAGAAGCAAACCATTTTGCCTCAATGCAGGGCAGAACTGCAGCCCCAGCGTTGGAAGAATCAGAAAAGCCCTAGACATGTTCCATATGGACAGTAAGGCATCATTCATGGTGTGAGCCTGTGCAAAGCCTTGCAAATAAATATTAAAAATACTCAAAGATTATAGGGGGAGGGGGAAACCCTGCCAGTGTTGGAGAGGCACAAATTTCGGCCGTGAATGGTAACAGCAGAAAGAGACTGAGAACAGAGGGATTGGTCACGCATAAAATATCGCTGTGCCATAGAGGAAAATGGTTGGCAGCTCTTAGGTGTCCACCAATACAGCCCAAGAGTGAGAAATAATAAATAATTTGGGTTGATTTTTTGAATGGCAGGGAGAAGCATCAGCCAGAGCCCTTGTAGGGATGGAGGGAAAATATAAGTTTTTGCACAAATCTGGGGATGCATGGAGCCGCCAAGGTGGAGGGGTGGAGTGGGATGATGACCCTTTGTCCCATGGCCATGCAGAACCCACGACATCCCAATTACAGGCTTGCTTTCTGCCGTGTCGATGTTATCCTTCTTTGTAAACCGATCTCTCCATCTGCCCTCTCTCTCCTCCCACAGATCCGTGCTTACGTGGGAGCATTCGCTCCCGATTACGACGAGAAGGCGGACCTGACAGCCCTCCGCTTCTTTTCCGTGAACTCCATTGTGGACCCCTGGGTCTTCATCATATTCCGGACTTCCGTCTTTCGCTCTTGTCTTCGCCGGCTCTCGTGGCGGTTGAGTTCGAGGAGAGCGACCCATTCGCAGCTCCTGGAAACATGGCCACGGAAAGAATCGGACTCGGTGCAGTAAGGAATTGGTCTCCGAGGATGTGTGGCCACAGGAGGGGGGACACAGCTGGGCTTGGCGTGTGCACGGGGAGGAAACGTCGTGATCCGGGAAACCACGGAAGGAGCCCAAAAGGTGGGAAACGAGAGGACACGGCGTGGTCAGAGAGGAAGCCCAGACCATCTCCGTGGTCCTGATGCAACGACCGTTTGTGGATTCTGCTACTCTTAAGGCTCAATTTGGTGACCCTTAAAAATGTCAAGGAGCAGTCACGAAAGACCTAGGGTACGGCATCTGTTTACTTGACCCGGGGAGCCTTTGACGAAGAAGTATTTGGGAACACCCCATGCGGTGTAGTGGACAGCGTGGCGGATCGGACTCTGAAACCCAGCTCAGCCAGGGAATCTCCTTGTGGGGGGGGCAGTGGAACTGGTAAAACCACTTCTTAAATCTCTCCTCCTTAGCATCGCCGTCAATCGGTTCTGACTTGAGGGCACGTAACAACGCTTTGGGGACCGGATAAGTCCCTCCTGTTGGAACAAGCTGGCTTTTCCATGGGTCTCCCTCGCTGGTGGCAGGTCTGTGACCTGAAAGATTGAAAAAAGAAGAAATGCAAGCAAAGAATGGATACATACGAGAGGGTTATAGCAGGGTGATCCCATTCTCATGGCGCCATCCTAGGGAATCCTGGTATGTGTTGTTTGGAGAGGGACTTTGAATTTTCTCCTAAAGAGGTTGAGTACACAGGAAACTCTTTCTGTTTCCAAAGATTTGCCTCTGAGGTCGCCTGGAGGTAATACCTGTTCAAGATAGGGGACTAAAAATGGAAAGTATGCCAACCTGACTTAGCATGATGGCATTGGTTGCAGGTAGTCCAGGGCAAAAGTCGATGCCCCAGAAGGAAGAATCAGCTGGTACACACCTTGGTCATGTGACTGCACTTTTGACGCCTCATCTAGTTGGCAGAAACCTCAGCAGAGCCATGTAATTTATTGCTTTTATCATGTTTTATGTGTTTATGACTTATTTTCAAATATCCTGTGTCCAGTAGAGTTTTAGAAAGTTAAGTAGCCAATGAGCCTCGAATCAGCTAACATGCCCCTCGCTGTTGTGATGACTTTCAGGCTCGGATTGGGAATAGTTAGTCACCTATACATTTAAAAAAATGTGCTCACTCGCCTGGCTGGTATCACCATAGAGCAATTATTCCCAATTCCGAGCATTGTGCTGGCTAGGGTTTCTGGGAGTTGCAGTCCAAGAACACTGGGGTTACACCTGGGAACCGCCAATGTACAGTAAGAGTGTGGAACCTGTACCTAGATGTTTGTGAAGATTCCGTGGCAGGCAGGACCTGGGAACCGCCAATGCACAGTAAGAGTGTGGAACCTGTACCTAGAAGCCACTGATGTTTGTGAAGATTCCGTGGCAGGCAGGACTGGTCCATAGGATGAGGAGTTGAAAAATAACAGCATAGCATCGTTCTTTTTGGAAACAGGCTAGGGAACAGAGGAAGCTGTTCACGAGATTGTAAGACCTCTGACCGCAGAGCTTGGAAAAGTTACATTTTTGATTGCAACTCCCAGAATCCCCCTGCCACTCCAAAAGAAAGGTAACTTTTGTAACCACATTCCCCCAGTGTGCTTGCAAAAAAAGGTGCTCAAAAACCTTGCCACCTTATATGATCAATGGGAGGGAACTGAGGGTGGATGAGAACTTCCCATTCTCTCTCTTTCAAGCCTTAATTGCTGCAAGAAGCCAAGGATTTGAATACAAGGAAGGAAGGAAGGAAGGAAGGAAGGAAGGAAGGAAGGAAGGAAGGAAGGAAGGAAGGAAGGAAGGAAGGAAGGAAGGAAGGAAGGAAGGAAGGAAGGAAGGAAGGAAGGAAGGAAGGAAGGAAGGAAGGAAGGAAGGAAGGAAGGAAGGAAGGAAGGAAGGAAGGAAGGAAGGAAGGAAGGAAGGAAGGAAGGAAGGAAGGAAGGAAGGAAGGAAGGAAGGAAGGAAGGAAGGAAGGAAGGAAGGAAGGAAGGAAGGAAGGAAGGATGGATGGATGGATGGATGGATGGATAGATAGATAGATAGATAGATAGATGGATGGATGTAGCTGGTTGAGAAGGAAGGAAGGGAGAGAGAGAAAGCAGGTGGCTGGTTAAAGAGAAAAGAAAGAAAGAAAGAAAGAAAGAAAGAAAGAAAGAAAGAAAGAAAGAAAGAAAGAAAGAAAGAAAGAAAGAAAGAAAGAAAGAAAGAAAGAAAGAAGGCAGCCGGTTGATCCATAGAAATGAAGCAAAATCCCAAATCCATAGATGAGTCAGAGTCATACTAGTTTTACATGATCTCCGACAAAAAAAACCCACCAAGAAAGAAACAACATGAACATTCCCCATAACTGAGAGCCAGGGTGGTGAGGTGAAGAATGAGACCTGAGTTCAAATCTCTCAGCCATAGAAATTCACTGAGATGGGGAGGTGGCAGAGAAGAAACAACTCCTTGATCCTCTCACATACCTCAGGAACCGTATGAAGAGCTGCCATAAGTTGGGACGGCCTCTGGAAGAAGGCCACAGGGGAGGGAACAATAAGGAGATTCCCTTGGACTGCAAACACAAACCACAACTCAGGTTTCTGCGTAGTGTAAAAAGCAGCCAGAGCTGCTTCGTTGTCTTTCTGCAACTCATCAGAACCAAAACTTGGGGAAGTTGTTTTGCTTTTTGGACTACAAGTCCCATTATCCTTTAGCTAACAGATGTTGGCTGAGGGGGTTTTCTGGGAACTGTAGTATCCAAAAGGACTTTCCCCAGGGTACTGCTGACAACTCAGGTAATAGCATACATTCAGGTTCCGTTCAGACAAAAAAGGCTTCATTTCTTCATACTATGCTTGTTTATGTCATTTTCATGTGTTTTTTTTTAAAGGAATGAGACTTGCTTAGGAAATAGTGGCTGGAATTGGCGTGTGAGACTCTCCGCAGCTAATTCTTGCTAATCAATGAAGTGCCAGAACATCTGATGGGGCTGCCAGGCATGTGACCGAGACATGGCCTAGCACCTCATCAATTAGCTGCAATTACCTCTGGCAAGTTACACAGACTTTATGTGAACCCTGGTAGAATTCCAGGCCCTGTATCGGTCAACAGTTATTGGTTATGATAGCTGTGAACAGAAATTCTGTGTATATATCCTCTTAAATTTTCTGGGGAGATCTCCTGGACATTTGTATACATGAGGCATTGCGCTAAACTTTCCTGGGATCCAAGGAGGGTGTTCTTATTCTCCTGGCTGTTGGTATTTTCCTAACGCTCACATTGATCAGTGAGAATCTCTCATGGCTCTGCTAAATCTGGGACTTTTAATTTTTATTATTATTATTATTATTAGTTACAGAATAGAGGCAGTCAGTGTTGTTGAGAACCAGGTGTTTTGCTATTCTGTATTATAAATTAGAAGCCAGGTCTTCAGCTCAACCAAATATCTGCCTTCTCCGGAAAATATACATCTCTTCTTTTACTGCATACATGAAGACCAGAGATTAATAATGCTCCATTTTCGAACTCATGGAATACTAAAATATTAGTTCTTTTCTTTCCCCAATGTCTGATGAAGGCAGAGCTGGGCATTTTGCTGATGGGCCTTTGCCACTGAGAAGTTTGAACCTCTGTACCCAAGCTAGCTATGATTAGCAAAGATGCTGTTGGTGGATCTGAAGACTCTTGTCGTAGATGATTATCTCCATTCTTTGTCTCACTTAAAAGGCTGAGGGGATGTTCCCTGGGTTGCCAGATGGCTGACTTTCCCAGGAAATAGGCACCTAGACAGCTATTGGGGGTGATACACTGTGTGGTAGTAGGGCACGTGCTGTGTAAAGGCAGCCGTGGCTGACGAAGGATGCTTGTCCAGATCTTCATCTCGCCTCACTTTAAAGATATGACCACCCTGTCTGCCTTTTGGGTCTTGCTGCTACTTTATTTGCCCTCTGCTTTGCAGCACAGGATTGCCAGCGGATCGTGAAGCAAAAGATCAGGCAGTATGAGGAACTATGCTGTTGCATCGCCTGTACCAGGACATCAGATATCCATTCCAAGTGATTGCATTTGGCATAGGATGGTTGTGAAATAAATTATTCTTTTACCCACCATAGGTTTGATGTCTGTATTTTGGCACTGATGTTGTTGTTAATGCATCTTCATTGCTGGTGCTGCTTATTGGTACATTAAACACCAGACGGTTCCTGAAGGCTTGTTGTGTGGAGACCTGTTCACCTGTCACCCTCTTAACAACTCCCTTCTACAAGTCTTGCCACCGCCACCCAACTAGCCAAGATGGCTGTGGGCGAGCTAGGGTTACACTAGACTGGTGTAAGACGTGCTGAGTCCAAACCCTCCTGTCTAGGGATATTGAAAATTACTTGGGACCACCGCCTTGGTCTGGCTTTCTCAGCCAGCATAGTGGGCTATGGATCTGGTACAATTTGGGTCCTTCCTCACTCCACACCTTCTCCACATCTGGCAGGAAGATCTCTGAGTTCCCCCAGAACAATGGTTGGGGGGTTTCTCCAATCATAAGGAACTTCTGCTTATTACAAACCCATCCACAGCCAGTGCATCTCTGAGTTCCACTTGCACTTTAAGATGGTATCAAACTGGGGTAATAGTGTCGGGCACAAGAGCCACATCGGCATCAGTTTTGAGTGGGAAAATGCCATAGAGAGTCTGGGTTCAGCATTCCACTGATTGCCTCCACTTCTCAAAAATCACCTTTGTCGATGCTTCCAAAAGAAGGATAAGTAAAATAAACAGGAAGAGCAAACACTTAAATCCCGCTGCTTTGTGTTCAGTTTCTATGGTCAGATAGACTTTGTCCCTCTGGATGGAATTTTTGTCACTTCAGCAGCAATGCCACTTAACACGGATGGCCCTTCTCAGTTTGGGCTCCTAGCACTACAGACATCGACTACTTAAGAGTTCTTAAAATCCGCTTCTCTGGTTTTTAGTTCCAAGTGCCTTTGACAAGAGGAAAGGAAAGTTTCTCAGTAAGAATAAACTGGTGCAATGAAGCAAACCGACTCTGGCATCCCCCGTTTACCTGGGCAGAGGTCCAGGAGGCGATTTGAGCCACACCCCGTGAGTTTTCATGCCTTCTTTTGGGAAGGGCTGTGACTCAGGTCCCAGGATACTTGATCTGCAAACAGAGTCGATTTCCAGTTCTGTCCCAGATAATCATCGTCAAAAAGGTTCTTTTGAAGCGGGAGCTTCGAAAAGGACCTCCGCAGGAGAGAGGCTGTTTGTCACAGCTTGGAAAAGTTATACTGCAGGGCTACAACATAGGAAACCAACGACGACCCCCCCCCTGCACTACCGCCAGGCTATCTCAGGAATTCTGAGACTTGTGATCCCAAAAAAGTTACTTTTCCAAACTTGGAGCCTGGTCCAGAGGGAACAGAAGTCTGCAGTTCCCAAAGTTCATCACCTTCAAGGTTTTAAATAAATTTATTTGGTTTGCAGCTCCTATCGTGGACAGAAACAGTGTTGTAGCAGAACTGGAATTTTCTCTCTCTCTCTCTCTCTCTCTCTCACACACACACACACACACACACACACACACACACACACACACACACATACACACACACACACACATTTGGAATGAATTTCCCCAGGAACAGTAATACTGTTGCATCTTCTCTGTGTTGTAACAGAATGTGTGTGTTGCTGATTTGGTCTTGAATGGGCAATTTAGAGCCATTGACTTTACAAAAGACCTGCTCGTCATTAATTGATATGGACCAGCCCAAATGCCCGTATTGGTAGAATCTTCTTATGCAGGTTGTGGGGATTGTCGTAATAAACAGCATCGCTTCCTAATTTACCCACGACGCCACTGTATAGAACAAGCACACAGTCAAAGTCCCCAGGTGACTTGAGTGGATTGTTCATTTGAGGAGCGGAAATTATTCCTGGAGAGACCGTAATCCGTGTCCACTTGCTTTGGACACATAACGGAGGTCCTACGTCTATCTGGATCGTGGCTTAGACGTTCTTCTACAAACAGACGGGATTACTCTTTCAAATTCCACTGTACTTAGCAAGAGCTGTGGTTGAGCTGGAAATCATTATGAAGAAAGGATCTATGTTCAGCTAATCTAAATTATATTTAAAGGAAGGCTGGTTGTTTACTCAAACCACAGCTCAAGGATTTGCCAAGTTTCCTTCTTCGTCAACAGCCAGCCCTTTGAACAAAATACAGTGATTTTCCTCTGAATTTTTATCATTGTGGTGCTGGTGAGTCATAGACCACATTGTGGCTTGTGGGTTGCTGTTTTTTGGAGGGGCAGGAGACACATCACCCTCGGCAGCAGAAGGAGCAGATGCCCTAAGCATTATCGTTTTTTAAAATCAGTGGGAATGTTAAAAGGGAAGATAGGGACTGGATTTATTCCTTTGATATTCTGACAAATATTTTAGGAATATTTATCGTTTCAACCTAGAGATGGCAGCATTGCAGCAGAGAGGAGACCCTAGCATCCTGATTCAACATGCACTTGACACTCGTCAAGTGTTTCCAGTCGTTAGCTCTATAATCTTACATTGTGAGATAGGTTGGTATTTTTGTCCATCATTCCAGCTCTAATAACTGCCAGCCTGATGCCATTCGGAAGCTTAACGGGTTTTCCCCTAGCATCTCGTGATCTAAGGTATACTGCCCTTGAATAGGGAGGTTCCATTCTCAAGTATGATGGCTAATGGCCGGGGACAGACGATCCTCCCTCGATGTGTCTGTTTCTAAACCATGCATGATCCACTTCCAATAACTCCCATGTGCTATAGCTCCTGCCATCACTCGCAGTTAGGCACTGTGTTTGGAGCTGATGGGAGTTGGAGTCCAGAAGCATCTGGAGGGCACGAGGTTGGGGGCACTTCACAAGACAGCCCACAGCTGGTTGACGACACAAGGTGCTTTGTAACATCCAAAAGCCTATCACTTTGCACTAATTTAAGAACTGGTGGATAGCGCAGTGGTTTAGGTCTCTGGCTGCACTGCCAGAGGTTGCAAGTTCGATTTCCTCCACTGTGCCTCCATGACAGGGGGGGTCACTTTGCACTAATTTAAGAACTGGTTGATAGCACAGTGGTTTAGGTCTC